ATATAGTAATCAATAGAGAAAACTCATTTGACAAATTGACTTTCTCAGTTAAGAATGCTCAGGGAAGTATAGTAATAAAGAAGAATTTCCTTTACTTGATTAAGAAATCTTGCTTGGATCCACAATCAATGCTCATGGATGCAGCAGTCAAGAGGTTAAAAGCCAAGTAACATTAGGTAAATCTACTGCACAAGACCTCTTAAGCAGTGGTTCTCAACCTTCCTAATGCAGCGACCCTTTAATACAGTTCCTCATGTTGTGGTAACCCCTAACCATAAAATTATTTTTGTTGCTACTTCATCACTGTAATTTTGCTACTGTTATGAATTGGGTGACCCCCGTGAAAGGGTCGTTCAACCCCCAAAGGGGTCGCGACCCACAGTTTGAGAACTGCTATCTTAGCATATTGAAAATCAAGGATGTTACTTTGAGGACTAAGAAGCACATGACCCAAGACATGTTATTTTCAATTGCCTCATATGTATATGAAAGTTAGATATTGAATAAAGGAGACTGAAGAAGAATCGATATATTTGAATGTGCTGGAGAAGAACATTGAAAGTATCATAGACTGCGAAAAGGAGAAACTGATCTGTATTACAAGAAGTAGGTCCAGAGTGCTCCTTAGAAGCAAGGATAGTGAGAGTTCATCTTACCCACTTTGGATATTAAGAGAAACAAGTCCCTGGAGAAGGACATCAAGCTTGGTAAAGTAGAGGGGCAGTGAGAGAAACGAAGGCCCTCAATGAGATGGGCTGACACCTTAGCTGCAGCAATGGGCTTTGGCATAGGAACAATTGTGTGGATGGTTCAGGATTGGGTAGTGTTTTGTTCTCTTCTGTATAAAGTCATTATGAGTTGGAACCAACACATTGGCACTTAACATCAACAACAATATTATATGAAGGTAAGTAATAAAGTATCACTACTAACATTCTCGTTCATATGTATGGGATTATTCCAAACAAAATATGTTTAAATATGTCACAGCAACCAGTGGATAACTGCTAATACTCACAGTAATAATTATTACTAATTATTAATAATTATTAATAGTAATTATTAATGCAAGTTCTTTTAGTGATACACTGATCTATGTCTCCTTAGGGTACCTTTAAAAAGTATACTTTTGTGGAAAAGAATATGTGATTTTGAGGTTAGAGCTAATGTCAAATTTTAAAAAAAACTCAAGTGGGAATATTCCCAAGCCATGGAAGCATTAAACAACTTTATTGGAATGCTGACCCATATAAACAAGTTTTAGATAGATCGACTATTTTAAGGAAGGTTAGTAAAACCTCAAAGATGAGCAAATAGGAGAGACCAGGTGAGAGTGCTATGGTGACTGTTTGGGGGACTCCAAAAGGGAAATCTTGGTAGATTTTCTGAAGAAACACAGAACAGACAATCCAAAACCAAATTCACTGCCATTGAGTCAATTCTGATTCACAGTGATCCTATAGGATATCGTACAATCAATGTGGGTTTCTGAGTCTGAAAACCTTTATGGGAGAAGAAAGCCTCATCTTTCTCCCACAAGGTGTTCAGTGGGTTTGAACTGCTGCCCTTGTGACTAGCAGCTCATTGTGTAAGCCACAAAATCACCAATGTAGGCTTAATATAATCAGGTTTTAAGAAACATGAAACTGCATCAATGAGAATATAGCCAGGAAAGTTGCGTAGAGAATTTTTTTTCATTATGATAACACGCCTGCTCCTTTGTTGAGGATAGCAACGGCTAACCTACAAGAATTTCATTGGGAAACCTGACTCTTCTACACTACGGCCCTGATGCTGCCCCTTTAGATTTCTTTTTGTTTCTCAAATCGCAAAATGAAATTAAAAGGGACATGATTTGTGTCCCACCAGGATGCCAGCACTGCCATTTTGACATGGTTTAAGTATAAGAGAGCAGAATTCTTCAGGGAAGGGATAAAGAGATGGAAACACATCATTCAGAAGTTTACACTGCTGCCTTGGTAACATGTTAAGAAACAATGGCTTAACATTCTGATAGTTTTATTTAGTAAAGTTTTCTATGGTTTGTAGCAATACCTTTGACTTGCCTCCATACTCAATGATGGAAAATTAAGTGTTTTCCCCTTTAATTGGGAATAAGGCTAAAATGTGCACACTTACTACTTTTATTCAACATAGCACTGGAAGCTGTAGACAGTGTGATAAGGCAAGAAAATAAAACTATGCAAATCAGAAAAGAAGAAATAAAACTCTCCCTATTTGCATGACATCATTATCTATCTAGGAAGTCCAATAAAACAAAATATGTCACAATATCCAGTATAAACATGCAAAGGTCAAATTGTTCTTTGTATATTAACAATGAATATGGTAAGTTTGCAATTTAAATATAATACCATATAAACTACCCTTTGAAAATGCTTACATATAAATCTAATAAAATAAATACAAGACTTTTATACTGAAAATTATGAAACATTGACTAAAAGATATAATATAATATCAAAATAAATGGAGAAGCACATTGTTCATGGTTTGAATAACTCAACATATTTAGGATATCAGTTTTCCCTCGAATTGATGCTGTTGCTGTGTGGTGCCTGTGAGTCATTTCCAACTCATAGCTACTAAACAGCACAGAACAAAACACTGCCCAGCCCTATGTGACCCTCAAAATTGTTACGTTCCAGTCCATTGTTACAGCCACTGGGCCAACCCTTATAGAGGGTCTTCCCTTTCATGCTGACCCTTTACTAAACATGACGTCCAACTTTAGAGACTGGTCCCTCCTGATCCCATGCTTGAAATGCATGAGACAAAATCTCATCATCACAGCTTCTAAGGAACATTCTAGCTGTACTTCTTCCCAAACAGATTTTTTTTTTGTTCTTCTGGCAATCCTTGTAATTTCAGTATTTCTTTGCCAACATCACAATTCGAATGTATAAAATTTCCCCCATCTTCCTTATCCATTGTCCAACTTCCACATATGCATGAGCTCAGTGAACGTGGGTCAAGCACACTTCAGTCCTCAAAATGACATTTTTGCTCTTTAACATTTTTAAAAGGTCTTCTGCAATAGATTTTTCCAATGCAATGTATTATTTGATTTCTTGACCGTTACTTCCATGAGTGTTCATTGTGAATCCAAGTAAAACGAAATCCTAGACAACATTAATCTCTTGAGGTTGTATATTGGTCTGGTTGTGAAGTTTTTGTTGTTTGTGTTTTTGTCTTTGTGTGTGTGTACATTTAATTACTTATTTATATTTCTTTTTAAATGAGGCATAATCCATACTATTTGATCTTCATCTGTTAAGTGATTCAAATCATCCTCACCTTCAATAAGAAAATTGTGTCATCTGCATATTGAGGCTGTTAATGAGCTTTCCTACAATCCTGTTGCCATTTTGTTCTTCATATAACCTAGCATCTCAGATAATTTGTTCATCAAACGAATAGACTGTTTGGTGAAAGGGACACAACACTGAAACAAACTTCCCGATCTTAAACCTTAGAGTAAATCTTTGTTCTGTTCACACACCTGCCGCTTTGCATACATATGAGCACATGAGCACAATAAAAGTTTCTGGAATTTCTATTCTTCATAATGTTATCCATAATTTGTTATGATCCATACACTTGATCCATATATTAGACTGCCTTTGCACAGTTGAATAAAATAGTAATAAGTATTTTTTTGGTATCATCTGCTTTCAGCTAAGATGCATCTGATATCAACAATGATCATGTCCTCATTCAATGTCCTTTTATGAATATAATTTAAATTTCTGGAAGCGCCCCATCCATGTACTACTCTAACCATTTTTTAAATGATCTCCAAAAAAGGATATGCATGTAATATTTATGATATTGTTCAATAATTTAAACATTCTTCTGGGTCAGTTTTCTTTGAATGGGTTACACATATCCATCTCTTCTAGGCAACTGGCCATGTAGATATGTATTACAAATTGCTTAGCATAAGCAAATGAGCACCTCTAGAACTGTATAAGCTTATTGAACCTTTTAATGGATCAATACCATCAACATCTGGAGCCTGGTTTTTCACCAATAGCTCCAATGCAGCATAAACGTCTTCCTTCAACACCACAAGTTACCTATCCTGTGCTATCTCTTGATATGGTTGAACATTGAATACTTCTTTTTGTTACAGGGACTATGTGCCTTCTTTCCACCTTCTTTTGATGCTTCCTGTATTGTGTAATATTTTGACCATAGAATCCTTCAGTATATAGCCTGAGGTTGAGTTTTTTTCTTCATTTCTTTCAGCTTCACATAGATGAGGATGTAGGGAGATAGAGAGACTAGTTTACTGAACATGAAACAAATAGAAAGGAAATAATAAAAACTTGGCATAGTGTTACAAATTAACCAATGTAACTAAGTAATATGCATAGAAATTATTGAATGGGAACTTATTTTGTTGTGCACACTTTCATCAAAAATAAACTATTTTTAAAGGAAACGTACTCCCAAACAACAAAGTCTAAAAGGTTGCATAATATGAAAACAACCACCCCCCAAAAAAGTAAATAATACATAGCTTCCAACCATGCTTATAACAAATATATCCGAACTAGGATTTTATCTGAATGCATTCCTCAGTCTGAAATAGCATCAGCTGAAAACCAGGAGTTTCTACTAGATTTGAAAAATTGTCTACTTAAAACACTTTGACATTAAAAATGTATTTGTTCAAGCAACACATATTTACTGAATGACTCTTTTAGGTAATTCCATGTTACAGAGAGTCACTCCTGCTGTGTATACGGGGTGAACTGTAAGTATAAACATGACAGAAAATGTCCTTAATATTAGGTAACATTCTACAGAGAGTTGTAAGCAGACATTGCAATGATTACAATGTAATTTGTCAAAGTGATTTTACTAGTTATAGAAAACTGAGGTTTCAAGTGGGTTCTCTATGAGAATGTTACCTTTAATCTGATATATAAATAAAAGAAGTAACTGATTTGGTTACTTGGATCATAACTTACAGCTGCCAAACTTCAGAGGGCAAGCATGGGCATCCATTGGGAAGTCTTCAAGTTGCATTGGGCACTCAGCAGAGATAGTCAAGCTATAAAGTAAGAGATGGAAAACCTTTCAATCCTGCTATTTATTGAGTGGCTGAGCAACCACTGAGTTCCTTAAGTCATGATTAGTAGTTTAAGATTACATTTAAGGAAGTCATATCCAAAACTTATTGTTATAATTAATGTATTTTATAACCTAATTCATATGTATACATTATCCCATTAAATTATATAGGTTTGAACTTTTACCTGAGTGTGATTTAAAACATAGTTTAATCAAGTAAGCCCAAGGTGTCTATAGTTTGGTGTGTGTGCCTATAAATATATTGAGTTGTTTTTGTTAGTTGCTACCAAGGTGATTTTCACTCAGAAAGACCTGAAGTATTACAAAGTAGAATGGCTCCATAGGGTTCTTGGATGTATAGGCCTTTTCTTTGTGGTGCCACTGGGTGAGTTTGATAAAGTAAAATATAAACTAATTGGTAAATGTATACATTTTTAGATCTATCATCACTTGTAAAGCAATTTAACAAATTTTAAAGCATAGAAGTAACAACATATTTCAAGAAACATACTACCTACCTGAACTAAAGCAGACTAAGATGGACACATGAACAAACTCTTAACAAAGAAAGAACAAATAAACAAAGGCAAAATTTGCCAACCAAAAGTCCTGGCCCAGACTGCTTCATTGCAGAATTCTACCAACTATTCAGAGACAACTGATATCAACTGAGCACAACATATCCAGAACATAGAAAATAATATAACACAAATTAATTCTATGAAACAAGTTGAACCCTGCTTCATCGGTAAATGTACCATTAAAAGTAAAATATAGACCATTATCCTTATGGTGAACATCACTCGTTCACTCACTCCCTGTCAGAGAGACCATTCTGACTCATAGTAACCCTATAGGACAGAACACTCTACACATTTTGAGTTTCTGGGGCTGTACATTTTTTTGAAGCTATAAATCTTAATAAGAGCAAAAACCTTATCTTTATCCCATTAAGTGACTGATGGTTTCAAACTGTTGATCAATGTGTAATCCACTACACTACAAATTTCTCCCCCTAAAATGTAACTAATTGAATCTCAGGTCATATTAAAAAATTAATCATCATAACCAAGTGAGATTCCTACCAGCTATTGCAGGATAGTTAAGCAATAGAAAACAGTCTGAACAATTCACCAAATAAGCAAAACAAAGAAGAATGATGATCATTTCAATTTTTTCAGTTATGGCAATTAATAAAATCTTACTATTTTTTTTAATTCTCAGAAAAATTGGAATGGAAGGAAAATCACTCACCATAATTAAGAATATATACATAATAACAATGGCCAACATTATTCTTAAAACAGACTAACAGCATTCCAATTGCAAATTAAAATGAGATGAGGATGCCCTATGACATCACTCAATATTTTAATGGAAGTCCTAGTCAGTGTAAAAATGCAAGAAAGGAAATAAGTGGCACTTAAATATAATAAGGAAGAATTAAAACTATAGCTTTTTTTAGATGATATAATGCTATACATAGAAAATCCCAGAGATTCAACAAGAAACTTTTAGAACTAATAAAATAACTCATTAAAGTTGCAGAGTCCAGATCAACATACAAAACCAGTCAGATTCCACTACACTATCAAAGAAACCGCTATACAAAAAATAATCAGAAAAATTTACACTACGATTTATAATAACCACACCTAGAATGCAATACTTAGGAAAGAATCTAACCATCGAAACAAAAGGTTTATGCAAAATATAGTATAAAAATCTAATAAAGAAACTTACATCAAAATAAAAATTTAAACAAAAAATACCATGCCTGTGGATAGGAAGACTTAGCATAGTGAAAATGTTATTATTACCAAAAGCCACAACTTATCTGTCACGCTGAATATTGTGCTGGCTTTCATGTTGCTAAGGTGCTGGAAGTTACATTAGTGGCATTTCAAATACCAACAGTCACCCAAGGTGCACAGATTTCAGCAGTGCTTACTGACTAAGAAGAGACAGGCTATCCACTTCTAAGGAATTAGCCACTGGAAACCTTATGAACAGCAGCAGAACACTGTCAGAAATTGAAAACCTTATGAATAGTAGTGGTGGAATATTGTCAAATATGGTACCAGAAGATGAGTCCCTCAGGTCAGGAGCTCAAAGCATGACTGGAAAAGAACTACCCTCCCATGGTAGTGTTGATCATCTGACACGGAGTAAAGTTTTGGGGGACAGGGAATGACACAAAATGGGAAAGAAACTGCTACAAACATCTGTTAGTAATCAGACCTTAGAACGTATGAAGTATGAGTCTAGGAAAACTGGAAGCTATCAAAAATATAATAGACCAAATAAATATAGATATCAAAGGCATTCATAAGCTGAAATGGACTGGTACTGGTCATTTCAAATCCGATAATCCTATAGTTTACTGTATAGGGAATAACAAATTTAGAGGAATGGTATCACATTCTTTGTCAAAAAGGGCATTTTCAAGATCTATCTTGAAGAAAAAATATTTATACATCTAAAGGACATCCTGTTAATATATTATCATTCACATTTAAACAACAATCCACTAAAGCTACAGTTGAAAAACTCTACCAACCTCTTAAATTTGAAATTTATCAAACATGTCATCAAGATTCATTGATAATTATTGGTTATTGGGGTGCAAAAGTTGGAATCAAAGAGGAAAAGTAGTTGGGAAATATGATCTTGGTGAGAGAAACTAAATAGGAGACTGTATGATAGGATTTTTCAGTGGCTTCTTCATCACAATGACCTTTTTCAACCACATAAATGGTGACTATACATTTAGACTCTCCAGATGGAATACACCGAAATCAAATTACTGCATCTGTGGGAAGCGTAAAGAAGAAGCTCAATATCAGCAGTCAAAATTAAGCCAGGGGCTAATGGCAAAGACCGTTAATTGCTCATATGCAATTTCAGGAAAAAGCTGAAGAAAATTAAAACAGGTCTACTAGAGTCAAAATACGACCTTGAGTGTATCCCATCTGAATTTTGAAAACATCTCAAAAACAGATTTGAATCATTGAGCACTAATGACAGAAGGCATAATGAACAAGAACAGAACATCATTCATGAAGAAAGCAAAAGGTCAGAAAATTTTTTTAAAGAGCTGAACAGAAAAGTTCAAAGGGAAGCTCAGGTTGACAAAGTACAATACAACAATGCAATGTGCAAGGACTTAGAAGCAGAAAACCAAAAAGGAAGAACTAGCTCAGTGTATCTTACACTAAAAGAACTGAAGAAAAAAATTCAAGCTCACGATGCAATATTAAAAGATTTTATAAGCAAAATATTAAATAATGTAAGATGCATGAAAAGAAAATGAGAGAAAGACACAGAAGCACTGCACTGACAAGAGCTGGTGAACATTCATTCTTTTCAGGAGGTACCATATGATCAAGAACCAATATTCAAGGTAGAAATCCAAGCTGCACTAAAAGCACGATTGAAAAATAAAGCTCCAAGAATTGACAAGACACCAACTGAAATGTTTCAACAAGTTGATGAGGCACTGGAAACACACACTAGTCTATATCTAAAGAAATTTGGAAGACAGCTAAGTGGTCAATGGACTGGAAGAGATACATACCTGTATCCATTCAAAAGAAACAGAATGTGGAAACGTACACAATTCCCCTAAAATGCATTTACATTCTAGTGTCACATTCTTATACATTGCTCTTTTTCAATGTAACTTGGTAGAGGTAGTAAACTGGTTCTGCTGCTCCAGGTGCAATTCTTCATTAGAAGCAACAGTCACACACACACACACACACACACACACACACACACACACACACACATTTACTTACTAAGTTACAATTTCAGCTACTTTAATTGCTTCTTTTGAATCTAGTCACTTACCTGTAAGTTTAATTCAGATGTTTAGTAACTTGACGATTTGGTATTATATCTGAAACTTTTAAAAAATGACATTAATCATTATGTTCCACCACTTATCTGTCAGTTTGTAGCACTGTGGTGACTGGTGTGTTGCTGTGATGCTGGAAGCTATGTCACTGGCATTTGAAATACCAGCAGGGTATTCTGGGAACTCCTGTTTTTCCTCCTTGGAGGTGGGAGACACTTCTTTCTCTCTCTGCTCACTCCCTTGGAGACTCTTGACGGACAAGGCTGACTCCTGCAAGACATTCCTGAGGAGAAGCCACATGGACCTACCCTGATGGAACTCTGGGTGCTGGAAAAACTGCGTGGGGACCCCTGCCAGCACTTAGATGCTTCTACTGCCACTGGATCCACAAGACTTCCCACCCACTGGCCTGTGATCTTCCTGCATTCGACATCATTGCATGCGTTTCATGAGTCCAAAGAGAATTTTATAGATTTGTATCAGACAGATGGGCTAATATTGGACTTATGGGCTTGATATGGACTGGGCTGGGATGTTCTCAATATTCTATTGCTCTTGTATATGAAGCTCTTTCTTATACACATATCAATGCCTGTAAATTTGTTTCTCTAGTCTACCTGGACGAACACAGTGTTCTCTCCTTTTGGCTTTCTAATTCTAAATCTTTACATATTTCATGATAATATTTTACTTTTTTTTCCCTGAACTGTCCTTTGAAATTTTCTACTCAGTTCTTTGACTTCATCATTTCTTCCATTTCCTTAACTAGTCTACAATTAAGAGCAAGTTTCAGTCTCTTCTATATCCATTTTGATTTTCTCTTTTTTCCCTGTCTTTTTAATGACATATGGTTGTCTTCATGAATGATGTTCTTGATGTCTCACCACAGTTCATCAGGTCTTCTGTCATTAGAATTCAATACCTCAAATATGTTCTTGAGATGTCCTCAAAATTCAGGTAGGATAGACCCAAGGTTTGTATTTTTGCTCCAGTGGATTGTTTTCATTTTATCTTCAACCTGAACTTACATATGAGCAATTGATGGTTTGTTCCATGGTCAGTCCCTAACTTGGTTGTAGATGCTGATATCGAGCTTCTCCACTGTCTCTTCCCACACTGCT